TTGTGTGTCTTACACAACATATGAGTGGTATCCTGGGGACTCACTAGCAGTGTCCTTTTCTGCTGTCAGTGGGATATGGGCCATTAGATGAACTGGTCAGCTATCCATACTGTCGTTCCTTCTACTGACGTCCATGTCAGTAGATTGGATGAGTCATCTCTACATAAATAGTGTTTTTTTACTCTGATAGATAGACTCCCCACTTCCCAAATTCTTAGACTGTTACCATATGTTGGCTATCCTTCCCACACACCTACAAGCTTAACCTGCCTCTGCTTCTGTATACTTAAAATCACCTATTCATTGAAAGAGAGGAAAAAGAATGTGATATATCTTTCTTTTCCAATCACCACATATTTATGTACTTTCTCCTGATTTTTTTTTGTGAATTTTGTTACATACAGATGGCTTTACATTTGCTTAGCCATCAAGGATTCCTTAGTGATCACACCTGATTTCCCCATTCCTTGAAATTCTGGGAAAATGTATTTATAACATTAAAAATGTATTTATAACATTAAAGACAAGGAAAACGATAAACAGGTGAGATAGGTAAGATCAATAACTGACTCCTTGGTGACTAAAAAATATGTAAAAACAATAGATAAATTTATATACAGGTCCACTCACTTTTTTGGTATCCCAATTGCATTACTTTTTAATGACTTTCCAGAGAGGTTATAGCATTTTTCCAAGACTCCTTTCAATTTTCTTTGAACATCTGATGCATATTCAAGATGCATGCCCCATTACAACATGTACAATAAGAGGAATTCAAAATTGATGTGTCAAATATTAAAGGTTGAAGCAAAGACTTGTGAGTGTTCTTTGTTGACACTTCAGTGATTACTTGCTTATAATGAATCAGCATGTATCAATTTAGGTTATGGAATATTTAATCTTTCCATTCTGTTACCTCAATACTTTCTCAGAATATAATTTGAAAAAGAGAAAAGAACAAATCTAAGTCAGACTAACATTTTTAGAGACACAAATATTAAATTTCCATGATTTTCCAGGACTTATGTGAACCCTGTATATAACAGTAAGCATGGCATTTATTCTTTCCAAATGAAGAAGAAGAAGAAAAACCTGAAGATACATACATGAAGAAAATATGAATGTTATTGCTTCTCAAACTGGACAGAGCATGAGAATATTCAACAAATTAGATGGTACCTATATAACATTGCATAAAAAAGAACCTAGTTTCCATTTCTGAGTATCTATCAAACCCATGTGCTAAAAAGGTCTTTGGTACTACGATTCAATAATCAATTTCCTCTTTGGATGTCATAAAACATTTGTGTACTTGTCCTGATAAACCAGAAACAATGAATTACAATTACAAAAGAAAGAAAGAAAGAAAGAAATCATAGGTGTGCAAATTCATACAAAATAAACCTGCTGATGTCTGGAGTGCATAGAGACATACACTGTCCACTGTGATTTTGTTAAATCCGTATTTCTACGCCTAAATGACTCCACAGGCAGCTAATGACCAAGGAGTCTATCATTAGGCCTACCTGATCTCATATATTTACCTCATTCCCTAAAATGAAGTGTTTTCTTTTTATTGCCATTATTTTTGTTATCGTCACCAGATGTAATAGAAAGATAATTAATGAAAAAAAAATGATAACAATAATAACAATAATAATGACAACAACAACAATAATAATAATAGTAACAATAAAATTAATAATAATAACAACAATAATGTTAATAACAACAAAAACATTGTAATAAAAAATAATCAAAATGATAATAATAATAATAACAATAATAATAATAATAACAGCAATAAGAATAATTCAAGAAAATAGTAACAGCAACAACAATAATAACAACAATGCTGATAAAAATAACACATTATTATGTCTACATTTGTGCTTGTGAAGCCATCTAAGTGTAAACATATTTGATAAAACAAAACTACAGTGAACAGTCCATGCATCTAGCACCAGTAGGTTATTTCTTTCTGTACATCCTACAGTCTATATATTCTAAGCCAAGAGTACTCTTAGAAACCTCAAATGCTAGCCTACCTTGACTAGGCTAGAAGTTTAGGATTGGATGGAGACATGCTATCACAGGGTAACATACACATGTCATGTTACGCTAGTCTTGTTCTGTATCCATGGATACATAAGGGAAAAAAAATATCATATTTTTCTATAGTAAACTGTTTGACATATTATACCCAATATGTCCATCTATTCAACTATCTAGTTTTAAAACACCTCCCCTAGAGTACATTAATATTACTTACTAAGAATGCATGTGACATATTTTTGTGGTTTCATTTACCTAATAGTCATGTCTTCAGAACAACTGTGAAGTTCTGAATGCATGTATATGTTTGAAACATTCATTTAAACAAATACTAAACAGAAAAGCCCCTTTCTCACAATAAGTGTTATCATCATTACCCTTGTCATTATCATCTGAAAAAATAAAAGAAAGAGAATGAAAGAAAACAACCATGATCTACACTTACCTATGATATTGATGAGGAAGTAAAGGCGGCAAGGTGTGCCTGCCTGTAGGTCGAAAGAGTGCACAAAAGACACAAGGAGCCCTGGTATGAGGATGTCTCCAAAACCGAGTAGGTTGTAATTCTCCTGCAGGTCACAAATCTTGGAAAGCTCATAGTCGAAGTTTGGCACTTTGAGCACCATTGGCATCTGCTCCTGGCTGGGACCTCCCTTGGCCACCTCAACCATTATGCTCTTACCATCCTGTTTAGAGATTTTAAATACAAAAAACACTTCAGTAATAATAGTAATAACAAAAATAATCATTTGGATAAGTTTATCACTGACATTGACAATATTAAAAAAGAAAGAAAGAAAAAAAATTGATAGCAACAATAATAATGGTGATTATGGTGGCAATAACAGTAATTTCATCAATACCAATCCCTTTACTATGGAAGTCCCTATATATCTGATTTATCTTGAGCAATGTTTTTATCCATATGTCTTAAAGGCTAAATTACTGCATGGGAAAGCAACTACACTCTTTCAAAAATTATGGTTTGTCAGAGTTGTGGTATATAGTACTCCATACACGATCGCAGGCATGCTGAGTACAGTACCTGCCTGCCTCTAAAGTAAACATCACTCAGTAACCTATTTTTAAGGTCACCCAACTCCACAAGCATCTGACATACTATACCACTTGAAATTCTATTTTACAAAAATCATAATTAGCATAATTAACTGGGAGGCTAATGGAAAGGGAAACTTGAGGTGAAACTATATATCGGGAGGGATGTAAAACTTGAATAAGAATGAAGAAAAATGAGAACAAGGAAGAGAGAAAGAAAAAGAGAATGAGTGAGAAAAATAAGAAGGAAAGGAAGGATAAAAGGATGAGAGGAAAGGAGAGCATAGTTCACTATAACAGTATCTATAAACATAATCACTTCCAGGATAATCATATAAATATTGAAAAGGATAAATGATCTACATCCTTCTTAGTAACCAATTAGTTTAGGCCACTAATGCAGCAAACAAATGTGTGTAAATTAGTATTTGTGCTGTATATTTGTGGGTATGATGTGCAATAAAATCCATTTCTAAGTTCAAAACTCAGCATATCAATGCAAGAACCACCAGTTTGGCCCTTGTATCTGAAACACATGAATTGTATTTGTACTGGTATATGTGAATACTAATTTCTATCATGTATGACAAACCAAAATGTGAATATAATATGTTTGTTTTTTCTGCTTGTCTTTTTAATTTTTTCCCTCTCAGTGACACTGTGTGGCATCTTTATACTGTATCCACAAGTGCTTAGTCACGTGACCTCACCTGATTTAATAATTCCTTGAATTTTTGGCATTTCTTAAATCTCTAATTCTTTGATTATCAATACATTATGATTCTTACAATTTCATCAAACTATTAAAAGCAATAAAAGAGAAAAAACTTTCTGAAAATCAAGAAGAGAGAGAGAGAGAGAAAAAAATGACTCTTTGGTGACAAAGCATTTCTGGAGCCATCTATTTAAGAACACAATATATAAACTAAAACCACAGTAGATATGGCATGTGCATTTAAATCCTCACTAATGGTAATTTGTGAAATCATAATAATCATCATAAAACCCATAATAATTATAATAGCAATAACAATTACAATGATACAAATAGCATTAGAAATTATCATTAATAGCAGAAGTAGTAATAACTATTTACCAATAAAATGTGGGGTAAAAAAGTTCACTTAAAACAGATATGCAGAAATGATGACAATAAGAATAAAGATTATGCAAGTAAGGAAACTTTTCATTTGTGTTTATGATTACTTTAGTTAACCACTGATTTAGGATACAGTCAATACAAATTTCTTTCTAGTTGAGCTGAACTTGAGCATGGAATCTGAATTATTTATTGTAGTCATTTGACTTTTAACCCACTCACAACAGGAGCCCACAGTAGTATAAGAGGTGCAGGAAACCTAAGGTCACCCCATTTTCTATGGTCCTGGGTGCAGGACAAACAATTTTTTTGATTATGTGGCTAAAAAGAAGCTTTAAGCCTACTTTTGCAGGTCTGTTTCTCCTCAGTGACTGCAGCCAGAGCCAAACAAGTGCTCTACTATTTAGCAAGCACAACTTGGAGCAGGCTCAACAGTGCATGACATGACAATGTCATTTTGGCATGAGGGATAGTATGTCAAAAGATGTGAATGGACATTATTCCGTTGTCAGTGGGTTAACTAAAATATGCTGATGGCATTTATACATCCAAGGAAAGACCGGGCCTGCAAGCCACATGAGACCTATATATTGATATGATACCAATGGAGGTTACTTGTTCAAGAAGGGAAGTCTTCCAATGTTGGACTGAACCCTTGTTTTTCATTTTTTTTATTGAAAAACAATAATTGGCTTGATTAGAATCAATGACAAGGGGGAAAGAAGACAAGGGGAAAAAGAAATAATCCCTGCACTTCTAATTGTTACTCGTGTGGGCAGCCATGACTATAAACTCAGCACAGCAGCACAGGTGCTCTGATTATTTCTTAGGCCATTAGATTAAACAGCAAAAGTATAACAGAAAACAATGCGCATATGATTCTACTTCCTTGATATGGATGTGCTTTCTGTTGAAGTCCAGAAATGTTTTCATACTCTATTCAAAAGAAAAAAGTATTCCTTCACATATTTCATGATGTGTAACTGATCTCAAATAGAAAATAGCATATTATGAGAGAGGGCAACTCACCGATGTAAGAAGCGGAGTGATGAATACAAAGAAAATGTCATAGATCACAAGGCCACACAATAAGAAAGTGCAGATCTTAAGGCTCGGTAGTCGGATCATTTTCAAAACATTGATGCTGAAAGATAAATGTGATTTGTTTCAACACAATTTCTGAATATCAGTAATTTAGTTGAGGGCAGTTTCCAAAGTTCACCTAGTTTTGGAAACTGTACATCAAAATCAAAGCTCTAAATGCTAATACAAGATATATCAACTTTAATCAAGTCATCATCTTCTAAACAATATAATGCAATATGTGTAACATCAAGACAGTGCAAGAACATTTCTGTCGACATCTATTTTTTTTTACTTAAACATCAACTTAAAGATCCTTTGTTGCACATCCTAAAAATCAAAACTTTATAATTTCATAAAGGCAAAAATATTACCTGAACATAATTCCTAGAATATCCTGCAAGATCCAAGCCCATGGCTCCTTCCTTAGCACCACCCAAGTGATTGACAGTCCAAAGGCAAATATCAAAAGCAGGATCTGGCGAACCATCAGTGTGCCACGTACAATGTATATGTTGAAGTATGGAGTTCTGCAAAAAGGGGTCTTTCATGTTTGTGACTGTCTATGGCACAAAAACTTTAGTAATATTACCATTAATACAGTATATCTACTTAGAGGATATTTATTAGGCCTAGGAAACCTGAAGATTGTAAAAGTAGAAAATATTGGCAAGTATTTTTCATAGCATGTTCCAGCTTAATCATGTGTAATAATGCAGTGACAATTATATTCACACACACCACCTTTATTATATTCAAAGAGGCTCTCACCTGGTTGTGCCACATGGCATTCTTGACACCAATGGATCAAGACAGCAATATGTAGCAATGGCAGAAGCTAGGCAGAACATTCCGATAATGATGTACACTGAGAATGACAAGAAAAGTATGTGATGCAAAACAGTCTGTAAAATATGGAACAGACTAGAAATATCTGGTTCAGATTTCTTTGGTAAAATCAAGTTGTTTTAGCTCTTCTAGAATTCATGACATAAGAGTTGTTTTTTTGTTATGTGTATAGAGGCATAGTACTTACCCAGATAACTATAGAGGAAATACAGACATAGCAGCATGATGCACATCAAGACTACAAATCCCAAGATGCTTCTCACTGTCATATTAATGGAGGTTTCTTCGTGGGGCAACACTGGCTCTCGGGCAACATCTCTGTGCTCTCCTTCTTGCTCATGTTGTACTCTATACCTGTATTGCAGACAATTATAGATATCATTAATACTCTTACACATATAAAAGAACTCCTTACCATGGAACATCTTATGAATAATGTATTTCATACAGATAGCTGTATTGACATTTTAACTAGCTGACTTCAATTAATCTCGGTATTGCTATCTCCATGCCAGAGTACTGGTCTTTGTACACTTTAATATTTTCTTTCCTGCAGTTAAGTGTACCTCTGTAAAAGCTGTGCATATTGTTTAGAAATTACTTGATTTCCATAACCCATGACCAATCCATCTGTTGCTGTATACTATATATCAATAAAGTATCCTTGACTAACTCACAATTCATGGCGGACAGTCCCAGACCAATAGGCCCCAACAACAACTGAGAACATGGCAAGAAACCAGATGACAATGAGGCTTAAATGGATGGGAGAATCTTTGGGTAGGTAGAGTCCCACTGTCACTTCATCACCTGAATTCTACAAAAAAGAACAACAGAGTTAGTATCTTATGATAAATTCATAGTTAATGTTTAATGTTTAATGTTTGAAAAAATAAATGTGCTAGACATCAAAGGTCATGTAACACTATGGTAAAGTATTGTGTCGGAAAGGGAATTCATAGTCAAGAAACACAGATTTTCTTTCCTAGCAAATAGTTTACATATGTTAGATCACTCCCATAAACTCACAGCCCTTATATGAGATTACCTTTGCAATAGAGCACATCTATGTCAATCCATAAATTAAGGCTGCACAAAACAAACTACACATAAGTGGCATATAAAAATGAAAATGCTAGACCCGAAAAATTGAAAAAAACATATATATCAAAATTGGCTACATTTCCATAACTATAAACAGAGTTTATATATAACAGAAACTTTAAAAAGTTTCATACACCATATCAATACCTACAGCAAAAGTGATTATTTTGTACCTAACTCACAGCCTGAAATTTTTTTGGAGTAAACCATCAGAATAAATTCTGGGAATATCCTTAACCAATATATACATATTT